CAGGACAGTGATACTTAATGCGATTTAAGGGGAAAAATCATAAAATGTCAGATTTCACTGAAATTTTAACGTAATTTGACACTGAATATTGCATATTAAATTGCAAATTCAAAGAAATTAACGAATTCTCGTCTTTGTGCTACTTAAAATTCTGGAATTTTACTGAATTTTCAGTGGAACCTGAAATTTCATGATTTTTTTCCCATAAATCGCATTCAGTGTTACTGTCCTGAAAATTAGTAGGTTTAAACCTTTCCCGAGCCACGTGAGGTGAGAAAAATTACTTGACTCAAGTAAATATGTTTCAGATATTAAATTTTTTTTCTCAGAGTGGATACTTTTCTCCGTATGGACCATCCAAGCAATGCGGAACTGAGGTTGCCCCAACTCGCCGAAGACACTATCATTGTGAATATTTCCATCAAGTTCTAAGGCTCCCGCCAAATGAATAAGTTATATTTTATCCGTAGGGTAGTTCATGCTCTTTACTTTTCGCCGCTGCGGCCTCAGTCTGCTCCGTTCCTGGTCTGTGAGAAACATCTTAATAACACAACCTCACCTATCCCCTTACCCCATCCTAAAAGCCACCCCCTCAGTTCATTAGCCATTCTCGTCTGACCAACAAAGAATTGGAGATAACGAACCACTGGTGGATAGGGTCTGCCTTGCTAGACAGATTCGTGGGAACAATTTCGAAACGGTGAGACCAAAGTTTTATGAATATTTCGGATGAAGAAAACGGGAAGACCAAAGTTTTATGAATATCTCGGATGAAGAAAACGGGAAGACCAAAGTTTTATGAATATCTCGGATGAATTAATTGGTGGGGATTTTTTTTCTGACAGTAAAAAATATTGATTTCTTAAGTGTATTTCGTCATCATTACGTCCTTACCACAATTTTTCCAATCCATGAGGTTAAATCCGCTCATAGAATTAAATTTGAGAATCAAAGTTAAGTATCAAGATCTGAATCTGATCTTCATTTCTGTGACAAAAGAAAGTGACATGAATAATTGGATATATTGGGGCTGACATATATTTTACCATCCGCGCCATATCGCGGTTATCCACCTCTCGTATTCCATCGGGCATATCGACCCCGTCACACAGCGGAATGAGGAAAAAGGTAGAGAAGGAGGCAATCTCCGGACGTTACGGAGCCCCGAGTCCAGTCCTACGGTATCAGAATAATACCGGTAAATCGAGAAATCCCCTTCTGTATGTCCAGCTCCACCAATCGAGTTACCAGCGAGCAAAGGCGTTTCATCTCTCCTTTTTCTCTCTTCGTCCAACTACCAAAAAGCTTCCACTCTCGCGACGCACGATTTACATTTCAGGTAGGGACGTTTTGCCGGAGTCTCTTTTGACTTTCGAAGTAGAGGGAGGAATTGAGAGGAGGAATCATGGCGGAGGCGAGTGCAGGATCTATTGCATGAAGTCGTAAGCAAATTGTCTGCGCCATAGAATAATTTGTTCATCATTTTTCTTGTCATCCGGGGCCAAAGTGTCAGATCTCAGATTTTTCCGGGGGGAAAGTCGACTTTCGTCAAAATCGAATTTTTTCACTGAGTGAAAGTTGATTCTGATGTTTCACGCGACGAGCTATCCAGAACCCTCAAAATTATTTGGAAAAAGTCAAAAATAGAAAAAAAAATTTTCACCTGGACCCAAAGTGTCAGATCTTGGATTTTTTCGGGGGGAAAATCGACTTTCGTCAAAATCGAATTTTTTCACTGAGTGAAAGTTGGTTCTGATGTTTCACGCGACGAGCTCTCCAGAACCCTCAAAAGTATTTGGAAAAAGTCAAAAATAGAAAAAAAAAATTTCACCTGGACCCAAAGTGTCAGATCTTGGATTTTCTCAGGGGGAAAGTCGACTTTCGTCAAAATCGAATTTTTTCACTGAGTGAAAGTTGATTGCGATGTTTCACGCGACGAGCTCTCCAGAACCCTCAAAAGTATTTGGAAAAAGTCAAAAATAGAAAAAAAAATTTTCACCTGGACCCAAAGTGTCAGATCTTGGATTTTTCCGGGGGGAAAATCGACTTGCATATATACCCAGTGATGTAAGTGATTCACTGAAGAGTTAATCCCTCAACATAAAAAAAATACGGATGTCGCTGTCGACAATTCCCGATGTTTCCGAGACGGGACCGCATTCAAGGTGACAGTGTTGATCTTGCGGTAGTAAAAGACGAGAGTTAAGTGCATGTTTAGCACTCTCGACCAATCCCCCAGTGGGTCGTTGAAGACCCGGTCAAAGACCCCCGACTCCACGACTGCGAGGTGAGAAGGCGAGACGATACTCCTGCTGCAATATCAAGCCATCCCCTTTACTCTCCTCTACCCCCACCCGTACTCTCCGTTTTGGCACTTTCGTCTCCCCATATCCTCGGATCTATCGACAGAGAATACCGAGGAGAGAAATCGTTTTCCCTCCACCACCAACTTCTAATATCCGATTGAACATTTCAAAGTCGTCATAAAGGTTATCATGAATGAGCATTGGGTCTTCCCTTTATCGCTCCAGTGTCAATCACCCGACGGTTTTCGAACGAATGGATACATTGAATCGAAGAATCTGCAGGAATGTCCGAGTATTGGAGGTGCGAGACGGATGAAAAAGTTGAGTTTCCATGATTTCAGATGGAAAGTTGAAGATTCGGCAACGACGGTCTACCCTCGACGTCAATTGAGAATGGGGGGTTGCAAGAGGTTGGCTGAACTCCAGGTCTATGCCAATTCAATCTCCCTGTCCAACACGGTGGTTTTACAACTTTTTTTTTCATGTTCTTTTCTCCATAACTACGATCTTTTGAGTCCCTGGGAATTCATGCTGTAGAGTACTGAAATCTTGAGACGAGTTCTGACTCTTTTCTATGTTGGTATTACGGTGCGATTTCTTACGGATAAGTTTATGTCGGGCATCAAGAGAAATATATCTATGAATATTTTGTGAGGGACGTATTATATTTACAAGTCCACTTGGATTTGTTTTGGAATTTTTCAATGGCTTTAAAATAACGTTACTGCTTGCACGTTCTATAAAGTGTAGGAATATATTTTTCGCCCCGGCGGGCGCAAAGTGCCATTTCCCTCCCGCTTCGCGCTTCGGCTCGGGTGACAATATACTAATGTGAGGAATTTTATCTCAAGTCAATTGCTACAGTTGTTATGTATTTGAACAAACACGAGTAATTGAGCTGGACGGACATAGCCATAATTTTTGACGTCTTTTAACGTCTCTGGAATGAATCTCAAGATTTTTCCGAGAATAATTTAATATTTTAACATTGCTGGAATAAATCTCGGAATTTTTCTGAGAATTTTTCGGGGTTTAATCAGAATCAGAAAATGTTCACTAGGTTAATTGTTCAGTAGATTAATTGTTTCGTGAACTCCAATAAATAGAATGCCTCCCATATAATCAACCCAAATTCGCACAGAGGGAAACGTTGGATACAAATTGCCTAGGAAATCGTGGTAAATATTTCTGTACCAAAGGTATTCGTGGAGCGAAATGCAATTCAATAAAAAAATACCTCTTTGGGAGGATATTTTATCGAACGCGTTCGGTAAAAAATCATTCTGCGTTACAGAAAAATTATATGCAATATTCAGCAATCATTCACGTTCACTGGGATAATTTTTGATGGAATGCAGAGTAAATTTTATAGTTTCGGCACAACTTCCCCTCACGGTCAGTAAATTTTCCCGGGCCAACGGAGAAAAATTCCCTATTTGTCTCGCACTTTTTGAAAATCGCGTTTGCTCCACGATTACTTGACTTGTTCAATAATTTTTCTCCGTGCAGGTCTATCAAATCTCTACTATCTCACACCATAAAAAATTCAACCCACTAAACAATCTCTGGGATTATTTGTGAAGTGTATTCACGAGGGGGAGATGATCTACACCCCCAAAACCACTATCTCATCATTTTTATTCTCGTTTTAATGAGACCCCTGGATGAAAGAGAAAAAATTCATCAAAAGCACCTCAGTAGACCTTCGCCAACATCCGAGGGGTGCAATATTAGAGAACGAACCAAGCATAAACTCTTTAGTCTTCGGAGTCGAAATGGAGGTAGGGGAGAGTCGGGTAAAATACATCGTCGCTGTCCATTAACAGCTCGCGAAGAAGGGAATTCACCGATTTGTCGTTTATTCTCCAGGTATTTTCAACTTTCCGACCCGGAGGGAAAAAGTTATTGTTACAACCCCAGAAATTGAATGTGAAAAGTCGATGATTTCTCCACGTTTGTATGGAAAGTTGACATGGATAAATTATTATTAATAATAATTAATTTAGAAGTGCCAAAATAAGAGAGAAGATTGAAATGTAGGAAAAATCTAAAAAAATCCGAGAAAAATAACTAAAAATGATATGCCGAATACGAAAATCATCATCAGTATCAAACTTTCGTGATAAATAATTTATGTTTCTGGGAATCACGAATGTGCAGAATGCCCTAGTTAAACGAGCAACTATTGTTTAAAAAAATAATTGTAGAGAGAATTTAATGGACTAATTTTTTACTCTCGTCAAAGCTGGTATTCATGTAAGAAATCATCAATGATGAATAGTTTTTTTTCTGGCATTTAAATTTTATTTTTCCTCACTATATTGAACGGCTTACGTGGACTTTGGATATACTACGTTGATGAGGCTTCCTCACTAGAACCGCGATTCGTTAATAGTTAATCAGCACATTCTAGGTATTTCATCTCCGGGGTACTCTCAAGTAGAGGCAAAACACACTAGGCAACGTTTAATTTACACTCATCGTTTTTTGTGCAGTCTCTATTATTTTGAAACTCGTAGTTGCCGGGCACAGCCGGACCCTCCACCATTTTCACTCCACCTTCAGTCATCGACTCATGCATGGCTGAGGGCTTCGCTAAACTTGCACCCCAATTGACCGTTTCCCAACGGAACCTTTTCATGTTATGACCGGCGTTAGTTTACCTAACAACTTCGTGGAAACCGTTTCACTCACCTTGTAACTTCCCAAGTCCTTGACGCTGCACGCCAACTTTATGTTCCGTCCTGCTGGCACAGTCCTGTTGCCAATCTCCTCGACGAATTCTGGCTCGGGTAAAGTGCTTGCTGCAAGAAGAATGAATTAAACGGTTATTCGAAACTCATCAACTTGATTGATTAAAACGACTGATTAATTCTTGATATTTGAATTCATCGCGAAGATCTCCCGGTCATTAATACTATAGATTCTGATTGCTGATGGAACATGGGACATCATTGAACAAGTGACAAGCCACTCATCATTATTGGAGTTACTAAAAATTGAGGTCGAGCGAAAATAGCCAGTAATTTGACTGAGATAAGCCGGAGTATCGAACTGACAAATTTAGATGGGTCGATAATTGGCGTTTTAATATAGGGGAGGGCAGGGTAAAACGAACACTTTTGACTTTTTTTGAAATATTCATGACGCGTTGAAGTGTTCATGAAATGGAATTATTTTATTTTTCAATTGAAAAACAATGATTGCTCTTTGCGATGAGCTTAGACTGAGCTCAATTGATAAATCTGTTTCGGAGTTATGAATATTTTTTAAAAAGTCAAAAGTGTCCATTTTACCATACCCTCCCCTATTCATGGAAATAATTCAATCACACACTGGGGAATGGCATATTTCAAATAAATATAATTTTATTTTAGAACTTTTCTATTCATTTCAACAATGTTTCTATTGTTAATACATAAACTCACATAAACTCGCATAAACTCGAATATTTATTTCAATGAAAATGTCCTGATTAAAGAGGAATCGAAAATTAATTAATTCCAAATGAAGAATTATTACATATTGATACATTTGTTTTTTTACCGTCAACACAGAGAAAAATTTCCTAGAAAAATTCATGTGCGAGGCACCATGAAAGAGTCACAATCCGCAGGCTCGAAAAAATTATTGTGTAGCACCAGAAAAATTATGGTGCCCGCAGTAATTTTTCTGGCGTAGCATGACAATTTTTTCGGTGCTACACAATAATTTTTCACAATAATCATCTGGTATTTCCCTCAATCTTCCCTGCAACCAAACGATCGTGTCAAGTTTCCATTGTATCCCCGATAATTTTGCAGCTCTCGGTAAATTACCCCTGTGTCAATTTCATTAGACTTGAATTTCATTTGATGTAAATACGAATGCAAATAAAAAATTGATGTGGACGTCAATAAAAGTACCCTGATTGAATGAACCCATTTATTAGATTGAAATGAAATTTATTTAAAGTCAATAATTTTTTCGAGGACAGTTACCTTGTAATTGATTATAATTGATGGAGCCCCACTTCACTTTTATCCCAGGACATTTCCATTAAATGATCTCTTTACGATAATATTTCGATAGAACTCAAAATATTCCGCTTCACCTCTTCACTGAATTTCCAATTAATTTTACCGATGAATACCGATCAATTTGATTATGCCAATGCAAGGCATATTATAGTGATGGAGAGCATTCATTTAAATGATCGGTCGAACTCCATCACTTTAAATATCGCTTCGACGATACGTCATTCACTTAATGAAGTTATCACTAATTGAAACACTCAATGAATTTCAGAGTTGAAACTCATCAATTCCGAATTAACCGTCCTCCAGTCAAAAGCTTTTTCGATTAGAACTCCATGTCCAAGGCTTCACTATTTCCACTCTTTTTCTCTTCACGAATTTCCGCGGTTTTTGTAACCGATCGTTTAGGTAATATGAAAGTCTGTACTGCAAAAAAATCAGTGTGAAAAAAATGAGAATCCGCTGGACGAGGAGTAGGATATTAATCACAAATATTGCACAGGTGTTATGCATCGATCGAGGAGACATTTCTGGGGCGGGCACATAACGCAATCTGACTTATAGTGGCACGACAGGTAACGTGACAGTTCAGTTATTGAATACGAGATGTAATCTCTTTGTGTTATCGATTTTGTTCTTTTAGAATGCACCTCGGAATTGCTTAAATATAATCAAATGGTGTGTACGCACGCTAACTGGGGGAAATATCTGCAAATGACATTTTTTCCCATGCAAACCGCACACTTCGTTGCCCATAATGGGAATTTGAAACGAGAAGACGGGTCTTATTCCATTCCAATGTGAGATGCAACTGGTGTAAGGACATTGTCGTGCTAGGGAAAGTTATTTTATAAAAAATTCTGTTCTTACGGAGTTGAGCGGAGTAGCGGGTGGGGTGGCTCTTAGAGCGAATCGAAATGACTACCAACTTGGCAGGAAGTAATGTCAGACGGACGGAAGGGCGGGGAGGTACTGGGGAATTCTCTTTCGATGTGAAAGTCTTGGAATTACTTTAACAAAGTGCAGGTATGCCTTTAGGGAGAGCGAGAAAATAACTAGGGTTTGTTTCAAATTTTAGTCGTGTAATGAACAGCTACTTATGGTCATTTATTTCATAGATGATTTGTTGTGAATTCAATATTTTTGTGATTGACGTTGTCGGTCACTCCCATAACGTGAATTGTAATGAAGAAATCAGAGATTTCGGAGGAAATAACCAAAACGTTGATTAAGTTGTCGAAAGGAGCTTGTTTGAAATTTTTTGGTGATTATTCTGAAGAGAGATGTCCCGAGTCGAGGATTTGGTTCTGATTGGACGTACACAGGTCTTTCAAGATCTCTCCAGACCTAGATGGACCTGGTAAGTCCTAATCAGTTGTGCGACGTACTTTTCCAGAGACCTTTCGAATCCTCAGTTCTTTTCGGTCCTGAGAAGTCCTCGATGCTACCGAGAATGCGTGATTTTACGAGCGGGTGAAGGGGAAGGCATCTATGCGGAGGGTTGAAGTTTGTAGCCAACGAGGAGACAGGGTTGCAGAATATATTTTAGCCACCCTCATCTCCCCGTTTGCAGGCGGTGTTTAAATAAAAAACAGTGAACGTTGATTCTGTATTTATTGACCCCCTGATGCCAATGAAACCCTCGGAGGTGACAGAAAAGGGGAAAAAAAATCGAAATAAATTTTTTTTTTCACGCCGAGCGAAAGAGTCAGATTTTCTGTTTTTCCAGAGAAAAAGTCGACTTTCGCCAAAATCGAATTTTTTAGACGGGCGAGTGTTGATTCCAACTATTTAAACGACGGGCTATTCAGAACTCTCAAAAGTATGTGGAAAAAGTGAAAACTGAAAAAGTTTTTTTTTCAAATTTTCAAAGGGTCAGATTTTCCGTTTTTCCCGGGGTCAGTGGATTTTCGCCAAAATCAAATTTTTTAGCCGGGTGAACGTTGATTCCAACTATTTAAGCGACGAGCTATTCAGAACTATCAAAAGTATGTGGAAAAAGTGAAAAATGAAAAAAAAAGGCCGTGACTATTCGCACCATTGCGTGAATCACTCCCGTACACTCCATACACTCCACGCATGCGTGAAGTTTGTGTGTTTCACGCAGCCGAATTTTCATACTGCTGTGTATTTCACGCAGTTGAAGTTTTATACTAAAGTTTTATACTTTTCAACTGAAAACCCGAGTTGACAGGGTTTTCAACTGAAAATATTACTCACATTACTTAATTTATAGTGAACCTCACAATTATTAATTTCAATTTTTAATTATTATAATATATTTTTTAAATATTAATTTTAAGTTAATTATTTTTCATCATAACTTTTCAATAAAACTAAGACATCATAATGTTAAGAAGTAAATATGTTGTACCTGACCCTCAAGAATTCCAATATTGCGTTAGACATCGATAATTGATCCCTCTCGAAAGATAATATCATTGATGAAAAGCTGTTAATACCCGCAGGTCGAGAGTTCCATTAGGATTTCTCTCGTAGAAACGAGCGAAAAGAGAAAAGCTTCTTTTCCAAGTTGGTGCGGAAACATTAAATGAATTTTCTCGTTGAAACGTGACTTGACAGTACGGATAGCAAAGCAGGGAAGGTGGATGAGCTGTATCTAGTGGAATCGTGAGGTGCGCTGGCAAAGCGATGGCAGAAAGACAGAGATAAACGGACAAAGAGGAGGAGAGAACGACTGGCGCAAGAGGGGGCTACGACGAGAGGCTCTGGAGCAAAACGACGAGATGAACGACGAAGGCGGTGAGCTTTTTTGTCGGAGTGCCGGCATGGAAAATTGCTGACTACTTGGCCTAACCACTCGCCCCCGAGATTTATTATTTATGGAGCGACAATGTTTCTCCACTCGACTTGTACTATCGCACATTTGCTCCTGAGAATCTTCCTCTCTGGTGCGTTAAAATTTTTATAAACCACATTTTTCAAATTTTTATCGCTCTCTGTGTATACTTTCATGGTGAAATTTATAGTTTATGTGGGAGTATAAATCTGACGTGAAAAAATAGAAGTAAAACGAGAAAAGTGGTGGGATGATAATGAAGTTTGATGTTTCATTTGTGACGATTCTCACATCTCACAATTCTGTTGAATCCGCGGAGAGGAAAGTTTGATGAACATTCGTATAAAAAATGGCGTCAAGTCGCCATTTTTCGTTTGTTTATGCAAAAACCCCATGGGAGGATTGAGAAGACACATTCCTGTTGTAAACGAATTACCCTCATCTTTCGGACAAGTACAACATGTCTGGACGAAAGTTTTTTTTTTCTCAGAGCAAGATATTTTGCTCTTCAAAAATTTCCGACTCAAGTTTCTTCATAGAGGTCAAAAGGTACTTTTAAAAAATTTTGTTTTTTTCAGCGCACAACCGGACAGTCCAGGTTCGTATCGACAAGGATTTCAGGCAAAATAGAACAGGGAAATCTACGGGTTTCAGTCATATACAGTGGATAGTGCCTTGAGAAGCCGAGGAATTGTTTTCCAGCGGAATTTTCATTAAATCCCGATCACTATCATAGACCCGAAATGTAGCCGGTTGCCGGTAACGGGCAAGCCGATCTTCATCAGAAATGCATGGAGCCACGACCAACGGAGCTGAAAAATCACCAAAAGTAATGGGGAAAAGTGTGAGTCTTTTCGAATTCGAACGAAATCCCCCGATAAGGCATTGGATATATAGACTTTATCTGGATTACCGCTCCGGTGTATTTTCCGTCGATGCGTTTCTCCTCCTCCCTCTAACTCACCCGCCGATATGTTCTTTTTCGTCC